TACAGCAGATTCTGTACATATTTTGAGTCAGAAGAGAGCTCATCCTGTGCAATATGTACATTGTCACGACCCAGAATAGTCCATTATTTATACATGTATGACTATGTACTAATACACAGTAGGCTATTCATAAGTGCATTATTATACCAGGGATGTATACTGAAAGTCAGGGAGATAACTTATGAGATGGCAGGAGAAACTGCTCCCGTGCAGTCATACCTGCTGTCACTTTAGTTTTTAACTGTAATTTAAACTATTTTTGGCTGTGTACAGACATTCCGAAGAGCATTTCTGGCTTGTCTTCCTCCATGCTTACTCACTGCAAATTTGCAAAGGGTTTAAAAACTAAACAGCTGACAATCACACCAGAACTAATTTGGTCACTGATGCTTGTGTAATTCTCTGCACTGCTTTTTGTTTCACACCGTGGGCCAGCAAGATGGAATTTGAGGCAACAAATATTGCCTGTGCAAAACAGTGGAGGCTGCTCAGGTCCTGCTGCAGATAAACGATGTTACAAGGAGTTTACTTAAACAGAAGCATGAAACAAAGAGGGAGCAAACCTGGATGCACAATTTGCATATTGTACTAGCTCTTCTTTGCATATAGTAAGTAATACAAAAGAGTGTGTTCTGTTTGAGAAAGTAGATGTTAAACTACTCTCTTATTTTAAAAAGTATATTTTTTGATGTTTGGGAAAGTATTTTGACAATTGCAGTCTTATCTCAAACTAGATTTTTCAGGTGTAAAGAATCTCAGACAGAAAAATCTTATTTTCTTCTAGCATTTTGATTTCTCATAGGAGTTTTGTGTTAAGTAGTCTCATGTTGATACGGCTTACTGGGGGGGGAAAAAAAATGTTCCTTTTAAATTTTTAATTGAGATGTTAAGAACACAAAACAACTGCTGCTTTAACTTTCACTCCATTGCTGCTCATTAATGTGTATTTAACGTCCCTTCAGTGTCTTGTCCCAGAAGAACATTAGACTTGATCTATCTGAAGTGCATGCAAATCTCCTCCTTGCCTTCACTGTGAGCTGCATCAGATCCCAGAAGTTTAATTAGAGTATAGGAGACAAATAGCAGTTCCTAGATTTTTTTCCCTCTCTTCCCAGTTGAGGAATAAAGCAGGAAATCTGCCAAGAAGTGGTTTGTTCAGTATTTCAGTAAAATGCAACTTAAAGGGTTGGGCTAGAAGAATACAAGAGCCAAAGTGCAGAATCAAATTCTAGGACAGCAGCAGGCGACGGGATCACACTCAGCACCTGAAGGTCTAAACTAGAGTATTCTGAAAAGTTCAGGTTCCATCAAGAGTTTGTCCTTATGACTGGAATTTCCCTCCCTCTGCTGAAGTGGGCGGGAGGGGGCTGAAGCCATGCCCTGACCCCAAAGCTTGAGCTCTGCCTGGGGACCCCTTTTGAGTTTAATGCAGGTGCCAGGTCCAAAGCATTTCCCTTCCGCTTAGTGCAGTGGCAGCTACAGCCAAATTCTCAAATCCTCTGAGCATGGAGCCAGGTTCACATGTGTAAGTGTAAATTGACACAGTATACTCAAATCAAAAGAGCTTTGCTTGTTTATGCAAACTGAGGAACCAGGCCGTAACTTCAGAAAAAAAATGTATTTCCCTTTTGACTCAGTCTGAACAGCTGCAGAAAGAAGTCAGCTGATGGTAGGAGCCTCCTTCTCTCTTCTGGTGTTAGCTTCTAGTGTCAACATTATTAGGAAATTGGTATTTTAATCACCCAATCAGTGATCATTTACAAGAATTCTGCAGCAATTATCTTTGGGGAAGGCAACACCAGCAGTAATTCTGCAAAACACAGAGGGTAGGAGGGATACAAGAGCGCTGCGTCCAGATTTTGTACCCGCAGCCCTGAGCCCCCAGTTAGTACCCATGTCCCTGAGATACTGCTGTCACCTGCACCTGTGCACTAACCAGCTCTTCCAAAAAAAGAGTTAGAGGATGGGGAGAAGGTTTTGTCCAGCACTGTGACAAACTGAGCCTCTCTACTTAGCTCCCACGTAGTGCACTGGATGTGAGGGGTTGTGAACATCTCCCTCTGGGTCCTGACAAAGGCTTGATCCAGGGCCCAGGGAAACAAAAAGGAAGATTTCTCATTATTTCCCCAGGCTCGGGGTGAAGCTGCGCAAAGCCTGGTCCTCCCACAGGCTGCTCCCATCACCTGCCACTGACTTAATGAGGAGCTCGGAGGACTCATGGCTGTGGGGGGTTGAGCCATTCCAGTCCCGATTTAAGAAATGAAGTAGGTGAGATTTAGGGACTGATTATATTCGTATTCATTTCAAAAAGAAGGACGCTGGATAGCTGAGCTAGGCTGTAGTCGACTAACTCCTCATTTAAACCCAGAGCTGGAAATCAGTTTGCGATGCTTCATGACTTATAAACGTATTGAAACTCCGTGCGAAAACTTGTTTAGAAGGGGAGCCTTCATAAGTTCAGTTTGTGGTTTGTTTTGTTTTTAAAAAAAGAGCCTAAGCATAAAGGAAATCATTTGAACTTTAAAAATACACGTGAAATGACAGTGGTAGCAGACATGCTTAAAATGGTGAATGAATGAACAAAAAAAGAACCAATTAAGCAGTAAGTGCGATTGGTCGCGTACACTGTAAATCGCTACTTACTTCTCACCACTTCCTCAAACACTTGTTCCCTGGGGAATATTCACGAACCATACATGCTACATAACAGAAAATACACAGCCAGTTCCTCTCTATTACTTCCCATTAAAATGTATTTTCTCAAGTTTCTCTCTGTGGACATCTCTTAAAACTTGATGTTATCAATGGGTAATTTTTTTTTTTTCATTTTAAACCTGTTGTATCATTCTGTTTATTATGTTTTTAGTGTGAGCAGATTGTATTTATTTGAGAAAAATGTTTGCTGTTTAAAAAAACTCAATAATTGTATTGCCAAAAATAGCTGTAATTACCTGTGACATCTGTATTTTTTTATTTTGGGGGGGTTGGTTGGTTGGTTGTTTTTAAATCTCAGTTTCAAGTGCTAACAACTGTTAAAACAACCACTGCATTTTAATTTGCTTATGACATTAAATGGATTTCTTGGAAGTTGGACAAAAACGTCTCAGAGATGATTTCATAAAGATGCCACGCACCCACACCTCGCTCTTCCTATTTAAGTTTTCCTCTCGAGCCTGTTGAACTTTGCCAGAATGAATATTCTGCCACAGACCTTTAATGAAGTGCCCCTTCAGACAGGTCCGTGCATTGCTCAGGTGCACCTGAGCGATATTTTCAGTGGCTCCAGCAAGAGGAAAAATGCCTGTTCTGGGTATATGCCTAGAGAACAGCTGTACAGAGACCCTGAAACACAAAGAGAGTCTTTCTCAGCCTGGATTGCAATGCTGCCCTCACCACATCCCACTCTGCGATGCCCACACGCACGGGGTGTAAGCCTCAGAAGCGTCACAGAAAAAGGGATGTGAGCTACATTTTTATTCCCTCCACCGAAGATGAAGTTCATTTTTTTGACAGCAGATGGCACAAAACCATCTCGAGTCTAGTTTTCCATCTACTGCACAGGGACAGAGCTTTCCCTCTGGGTTGGAGGGAGGGGGCTTCAGTGTCTCTGCTGCTTGATGCCTTTATTTTCCCCAGACTTATGTTAGTGTCAGGTTTAGACCAAAGCAGTGCTTACCTTTACAACACAGATCTCCTTTCTCAATCTGGATTTTTTTAATCCAGCAGTAGTTTTCTCAGCCAGCGAGGCTCTTTGAAGTCGAGTACCTACGTAAAACTTTACAGCCTAGAGCTCTGTTTTCCAGTAAAACTGACTGCATTACAAAATAAAAGCTACAGCTTTTATCAGCCAGATATAGGCTAACAGAATTAAGCACTTCCATGCACCTGAAAGTTTAATGGACACAGGTTCTAATAAATAAGAAGATGCATAATGTATTTATAATTATTTTGTCTCACTCCAATCCACGCCCTGCAGATGCACAGTTTTTTAAAACCATATTTCTTATCTTATTACAGTCGGCTGATCTTTACAGTGTTAGCCATTTGCAGTAAATGCTGGGCAGTCGCAGAGAAATACCAGAAAGAGGATCTGCAAAGCCTTTTTGGCAATCAGCGTGCGTGGCTACATCATGAAAAGACGGGCACGAATAAATCTTGTGATGTTACCGGACATCACGCACCCAGGAGATACAAAAAGTTTGCTACACCCGGATTGCTTCCGAAATAATCAGACCTGGATGGGAACATGGGAAACCCAGACTCTGCCACCAGTCCTCTGGGACCTCCTTCATGTAGCCAAACTTCTGCCTCGTGCTTCAGTTCTCGGTGAATCTTTCACAACCACCTCACCAATACTCTTAATTCCCCAGAGAGTCACAAACCACACGCAGCGGATTACCTTCCTCTCGTTATTTCTTTTGCCAGGATCTCTGCAAGCAGAGCAAAGCAAACCTCCCGCGCACACAGCGGTACAAGATGCGGAGTGACACAAGATTAGTTTTCCAGAGATTTAAACTGCACGGCTGCATTTTCAAGCAACCTTGCCAATTGCTGCACTACAGCTGCGTCCACCAAGTAAGCTCTGCCTTCCTGGACGCCTTCCCATCTTGGGGAATTAAATCCTGCACAAAGTGTCCTTGTAGCATCACCCCAGACCCAAATTTCTATTAACCTTTACCTGTTTCACCCTCCCTGTGTACACCTCTCCCCCTCTTGCCCACACGGATGCTGAGCAAGGTGAAGCGTCCCCAGTCCTGCTGCCCACCAGTTTCATTTTAGGGACCTGTGAGGTCACCAATTTCTCAGCAGTCGCCAACACATAGGAAACGTGAGACGGGGGTAGAAGAGAGTGGAATGGCATAGAGAAGGAAAGGGGGCAGAGGTCCCAGCAGTGATGAAGTCATGGTAAATCTGCTCCCCCCATGCTGAAAAGGGACCTCCTGCGCAGCAGCGTCGGCAAAGAGGAAGCCAGCACAGACCGCCAGCGCCCACACCACAGCATGACTTTCGCCAGGGTGCTACACGTCGCGGCTCTCTTCCTGATGCAAGGTAAGCAAAACGCGTTGTCTTACATGATCTGCCCTTCGCAAGCAGTACAGCTTGGAGAACTTGACTGCCAGAGTATCAGCGTGCTACGCACAAGGCAGCTTTCCTGTTGTTTTCTTGCTGGCAATGCTGCATTGTCACCCATTTTCCAAAGCATTGACACTCGTAAACCCAGTGTCGATGAGACCAACTCACCTCCTAGCAGCTGTCAGTGTGCTCGAGATGGCAGTGCTGGGAAATCAAAAGCTTTTCCCTTAAATCCGGACAGTTGGTCACTACTTGCTGCGTATGCCTCTGTTCACACACTGTCTAAAAAGAGACTAACGTAAGAAGCACTTGCAAAGTATTTTGAAAATTAAAAGCGTTTAAATGCTCAATCTCCTCGCTCCTAACTAGAGCTTATGCCACTTTGCTTATCTTCTGTCTTTGATACACAGGACAGCATGAGAGATCCATATTTGACCTTTTAGATTTAGGTAAGGAAAGCAGCAAGACAACGGGCAGGCTTCCCTCCCGACCTTTGCAGGAGGAATGCACACACAAGCCTGGTGCTGCCCTCTTCTGCCTTCTCAACAAATGCTGGGGCAGAAACTGCAGCAGTGCTGTTGTGGACACTTTGCTAATACTTTCGCACACTAAGGTATCGTTAACAGAGGCCACATCGGATCTCGGCGTCTAAAGGAATGCTATATGCTATATTAGCATTGATTGTGTTTGACAGAACCCAAGCCTTAAGGAGATGTCAGTTGTATTTTAGCCAAACTAGCGCTTGCAGTGCTCTTTAGACTCACTCCAAATCAGCAGTTTTCACTCTGTTTCAGTGCGCAGCCCCTCTTCCTCCAACATTGCCCCCGATTCCCGCATGATGAACTTGTACCTGCCGACAACCACTAGCTGCTCTTGGCCATCAGAATTAATTCAGACTCCTCCTTGCAGGTCTGCAGCCAGAGGCCAAAAATAACTCATTAAACAGGATGCCTCTACAGGCTACAGTTTTAAAGAGAACTCTGAAACAATGCATTGAGCGCATTTCACCGCAACAAGTTCTCTGTGTGCTTTCTGATGGCTAAAATAATAGCAACCAGAGTCATGAGCTGGTTTTGCTCCATTGCATCCTGCAATTCCTAGCAAGAAACAGTTGCTATTTCTTGCCAAGAGGGTGAATATATATTGCAGTACTTGATCTCAGACCAATTCTTCCAGGCAGCCAGGGCAGCTGGGATGCACAGAGCACTAGAACTACCACAACCACTGCAAACTGCCCCCACACAAGGAGGGAAATTTGACCTGTGAGTCATGGTCTGAACGAAGCCACGGTCTCTCATAGAAATGATGTATTATCTCTGTTGTGGGGGCTGCTTTTTTTCCTGTTCTAGAAAAGCAAGCAACACCTCAATTTTTCTTGTTTAGCCTTGCTGCTCGCATCTCAAAATGCGACCTCACACTTGTGTTAGTGACAGGAAACTTTCTCTGTGCCAAAATGCAGAAGGGCCCCGTGTACAACCACAAACAGGGCTCTCTCTGCTACCTTACCAACACGCACCTCTCGACGCAGAACCAGGAAACACCAGGCGTGCTCAGCTCAAGGGTGAGGCACGGCCACAGGTCCCCATGGGAAACCATCATCTTACAGGGTGACAAGTCCTTCCTCTGACTTTAGTGGTAAAAGGTCAGGTCCGGCAAGAATACCCTAAAATAGTTTCATTTTTGGTATATTTAAAAATGTTTTTAAGAAAATGCAAAGCTTTCCTGAGGCCCAGAAAGACTCATTTCCCCAAACTGCAGCGCTCATGTATGCAGCAGGAACTTGCAGCAGACAAGCCAGCTGGAACACAAAATCAGAACGCACAAAACAGGAATGAAAAATAAAACCCTATTACTGCCTATTTACTTACATCTGACCCTGGACTTACTCTTGGTAATTTCTCCACAGCATGCGTTTTTCTGAAGAAGGCAAGTCATTCCAGGTCATCAAATGTTTCCACAAAGTGTATTATACATCTTAGAATGTCTGGAGACAAAACACCGCCTGTCTGTAAAATGAGCTGGGAGTAGAAAGACCAAAAATTCATTTTAGTACCCTGTGCCAGGCCAGGTTTGTGGCTCCGATCTTTGGAAGAAGTTTCAAAGTCAGTTAAAAGGAGCATTCCAACTTCTGAATAAAAAAATGTCTTATTTTGCAGAGGTTCTGCTCAGGCACACACACTCGCAAATCAACTTCAACAGCTCCAGAATGCAGCATGGTACAATGAAAATTAACATACAATTATATTAGCAGGTTTCCTAATACAGAAAAAACTTGACGCAAAAAGAAAGCTGACATACTTCTCTGTGCGAAACATTGTCGCTTTACTTCATGTCACATTTTAATACTTATTTTTTCCCCCCACCTCTGGCAGGGGATTTTCCAGGACATGGCAGCGAAACTGTAACTCTAAAGGAAGGAGAGGACCTAAATCTCCACTGCAGGCTCAGCGGTGACGGCAGTTCTGCCCGGCAATGGTTAAACCCTCACAACTTTACCATTTTTATCAACACCCTGCGCGGTAAGTGTGAAAACCAAGTGCAGGACTTTCCACGTGGGGCTGGAGGGTCACTCACAAGTGGGCTTTCCTGGCTCCCACCCAGGGCCACTCTGACTCACTTGTGACCCGACCGCGCAAGATGGTTTTTACACCTTTCTGGCAGGAAGCTGATGAAATGGAAACCCCCACAAGAGTGGTCTGGCACCAGAGCTTTTAGCAATGCACCGGCAGCAAGAGATCAGCACAAAAAACCACTCTCGCCCTAGAAGAGAGACAGGAGTGGACATGCCTGAAAGCCCTGGGTGCTCTTTTGCTCATCACGGAATTCAGTGTAGTGCACCAGGAGGGAATTTTTAGAAAACCAGCAGTGATTTCTAATGCATGCTGACGAAGCCAAAGTTACAATTACTGTGTTTCCTCGCACTCCTCTTCACCTCACATCTCTCATCTCTCCTCCTTTTGGTCCAAATTCAATAGCTCTGCCAGATGAAGACTGCTTTAGTGTTCCCCATTTGAACAGTACCTAGTCAGCATCCCTGCTGTTAAAGCCTTTAGGCTTTAATAATAACGACTGGGATTTATCTGACTAGAGTTTGCAAAGCATTTGGATCCTTGATAGGTCAGACACACTGACTATTTTCCTTTAGCAACACTAAAGAAAACAGTCCTCATTTAACGACTTTACACTGCACACAGACATTTTCATTTTTTATTCTGAATCACCACTGTGAATCTCTATCACATTGCTTGTCTGATAAACCACTTTTGAACTAGTTCCCTCCAGCCTCATTGCAGATAAAAATGTGACAAGCTAGATACAAGACTTGTATCATGGTGATTTCAAAACCCTTTTATATTTAATTGCTTCCATAAATTATAGCGCTGCTGTGATTAAATCACATTAAAATCAAGGTAATTAGACAAGGATAGGAGAAGCAAAACAGCTCATTAATAAGCAGTTAATAAAGAGGTGTGTGCTGACCACATGGTTCATTTATGTATCACAAAATACACCCAAAAAGGGAAGTGATTTTTTCAAGGTCAGATAAAGACTTGGGGAACAGGGAAAGAAAAAGTCCTTAGTTCATGCATCTATGCTCTACATTCAAACATCATATTACTTTTCTGTCTACATATCATGTCCTCAGGTCTCAATGCTTGCTTATATTCATCTATCTAGACACTTACAGAACTCAAATTGCAATAATACCTAAGAATACAGGAATAAGACCCCCTGAATACAAGAGCAAGAATAAACATGTTATTTTGCCTTCTAGCAGCACATACCCCCTTCTTCAATCCACTGCTGTCACTGTACCAGTGCAGCACCAGTTAGGAATGCTTTGTGCTAGAACTGCTCCCTTATGTCTAGTGCTGATGAATTTTAAAAAAAAAAGTAATGAAGAAAACTATTCCCACTCATTATTGCTTTAATTACCCATTTTCTTCTTACGTACCAACACACATAGCAAGCTGGGTTTATTTTTCCTTACAGCTTTAAGAGATCAGAGGTACAAACTTATCCATTCTTCAAAGGATGAATTATCCATCCAACTGTCTAACGTAACAGTGCACGACGAAGGCGAATATAACTGCTTCTACTATGGCATCCCATTCAAAAGCATGAACACGACGGTTGAGGTGTTAGGTAAGTTCCTTCGCCTGCTTTGTCCCAGAAGAGCAGAACAGCTCCTCAGCTCCAGACCTACATTTTTGCATGCAATTAAATGGTGCTTTACACGACCTGATCCTGGTCTTAGGCCAGTGCCCCCAGATAATGCTATGTATGCAGACATTCATAAAACCAAGTAGGAAGATGTGCTGTAACTGATTCTAAACCTTTTTGCTGCAGCTGCTCCTTCTAATCCAGTACTGGAAGTATCCCAAGACACAGAAAGAAGCATTACATTGTCTTGCTACACTCAAGGGTGCAAACCACAGTCCCAGATTACCTGGCTCTTGAACAACGGGATAGAGCTCCCTGGTAAGTGTTAAAGGACCAGAGGTTGATAATTAACCATTTCTTCCTATCAGCCATGGGCACATTTAAGAATACTGGAAGGTGAAACACCTTCGGCAACACATCAGCTGGGACTAGCACTCAACCTCCACTCATTTAGTACAACTTTGCCCGAGCAGCGCAGGTTTGGAGAAAAGTCAGCACTGAATTGCAGTGTTTGGGCAAGGGACAGGGCTCATCTGCTTTGCTCACATTCCGTGCAGAACAGCGCCACTTGGCACCAAAATAACCTGAGAGTCTGGAGCGAAACCAAAATAAAATGAAACCAAAACTCTGCAGGCACAATTCTGAAAGCCCCAGTATAAAGCCAGTAAACAAATCCACTCTATTTCCATGCTGTAAGCAGCAGATGGATTTTCCTCAGTTTTGCAGAGCAGCTCACACACATCCCAACAGCATTTCCCTCTCAATCTACTCAGAGTCAGGCAGCTCACGAGCAGAAGCAAGAAGAGAGCTCACAAAACACAGCTGTCACTGCCCTGTGAGGCTCTGGGGTGACACAGGTGAGGAGGAACAGAGCTATTGCATAGCTCAAATTAACTTGTGTGCTATATAAATAGCTGCTTTGAAGGCCACCTCCTAATAATAAATACCTTACTCGCTTGTAACTGTAGCACAGCGAAGAGGAAATGCACATCTCTATCAAAGCATGAGGAAAATACCCACAGATGCATATGCTGCTTTTTTTTTTTCCATGCATTAACAAGCTCTTATTTGTATTTTGCATCCTCAAGCAACATATTCAAAGCTTAGCTTGTAATCTCCTCCCCTGCCCCCCTCTCCATCAGCTCTGGAAAACAACACAGTGTGGTAGCCTGAATATAGCTAGCAAACAAGGCTAAAGAAAAAAAAAATAAAGAAATAGTGTCCTATGCAATACAGCAAGTTACCTGTAAAGGCTAATTTGGAAACAAGGAATTTCTTTCATTTAAGACATCAGTGTGTTACCAAGAGTAACAGATCAGGAGAAAGCATCAGTTGGTTTCCAAAGTGCAAAAAAGGGGGACAGTGAAACCCGCACTGTGGGGATGACAGAGGACTTGCACAGGATTTCACAGAGTTACAGAAATGTTTATTTATTACAACTGTAAATATTGTGCGCCTATATTTTGTGCCTGTTTATGAACAGGCATAAACATTGCACAACTTCTTTTTATGTTTGGGGTAACAAATCCACAGCTATTAAGACACAAATTCAATGTCCCTGGCTATCACACAGCAGAATCAGAACTTTTCTAGAACTCAGCTGTGCAGCAGAACAGCAAAACCCTGCCTTGAGGGCCCCCGTTGCGGGCCATGGATGGATGTGGCAGACAGCAAAACGCTTTATTCCGTTCACTAAGGACCAAAAGTGATGGTGAGTGTTTGGAGATTTTGCCACAGACGTGCATGGCACTGCCGGGGAATTTGCCCACGTGAGTCATGAAACCAAGCAGAGGCTTTGGGTCGAGCGCAGAAGGTGCAGCGAGGTCTGTACTCGGACAACTGCCAAGGAAGAAAACACAACCTTGCTGCCTTTGGGCTCCCATTTACACAACTGCACAGTAATCAGGTGCTGCTTTAGCACAGCAAAGTAATGCACGTTGCGCCTGGAAGGTTTTTCATTACGTTGCCCTTGACTAGAAAGCACTTAAATGATTTCCTCCAACGGGTGTATAGGTGACAGTAAGCACGAGTTAGAAGCTGATGGGAAGAAATGGACCACAGTCAGCACGCTGACCGTCCTCGCCTACGGGCCCAATTCAACAGCCAGCTGCATCGTTCGTCACCAAGCACTAAGAGAAAAGAAGCTGACAGCATCTTTCCAGTTCAAGGATCTCTCCAGGACAGGCATTGCCCCGTCTGCGCTCGAGGTGCATACACCTGACAACGAGAATTCTACAGGTAGGCACTAACTGCTTGGCTCTTTTTAATTAATGCACCTGTCAGGTAAACTATCACCAGCTGCCATCAGCACTGAGGGACATTTTGTGCAGTCTTCAGAATAATTTTGGTTTTTCGCCCAGTGACCACAGCAGTGTCAGGTCTGAACAGGAGCACGGCCTCTGCTCCAAGCTACATACTTTTTTTTTCCTTGTTTCGTAACATTAAATATAGTAATAGGAGAGGGAAGCTGATGGTAGGAGAGTAGGACTGTAAGTTCAACCACCGATCAGACATCACCCAAACAGGCCAGAGCATGGAGCATGCAGCAGCATACTCGTTTTCCAAGAATCAGTTCAATGGAAAAGCATGTCTTCTGATTTTTGTCTTGTGTTTGGGGGTGTTTCCTTTAGGATCCAAACAACCAGCTGTGCCTTCTGCAGCATCAGAGGATCCAGCAGTTACCAGCTCAGCATCAATCCAGAAAAACCTCCAACCAGACAACACATCTGCTTGTAAGTTTGGTCTTAGTTACATTAATTTACCAAACTGGGAGAGAAATGCTACCAAGAACAGTGTTTTATTCCACATTACAAACAAGCACATAATATAAAACACAGCATTTCTTGCTTGTGGGGGGAGCTCTCATTTTTACACACAAAAGCAAAACAAAGTGTCTATGGCAAGCTGCAGAACATCAGCGTTAGCAGCAGCAGCCAGACTGTCCTGGTCACAGCACGGTTAACGATGAGACTCAATGAGTCTTCAACTCAAAGGATTCTGTGATTCCCTGGTGAGCCCTGGCTGGGATTTCTTTGGACAGCTGCACTAGGTGGCACTGTGCAACCACAGTTACCTGTGCCCGCTGCATTTACTGAACTGAGGAGTTGCCTCCAGCAGAAGAATTAAACTGCCCAAATGGGTTGGCCAAACCCCACCAAGGTGGGGACACGTTTCTTCAGTGAAAAATAATTGGCTCTTTCCGAAATACGTTAACTCTTTGTTTATATTTGTTTAAAAGAGCTGCACCGGTGATAACAAATGTCAGAGAACAGCTACATCCCAACTAACAATTCATACATATATTGGTAAATATGGAGCGGGAGCCTGAGTGTTTTAAGAGGACTTTCACTAGGTGTGCTTACTCCCCTGATAAGGAAAAAAATCTCTTATGAATGTAAAGTTCTGGCAGACGCAACACGCATTATCATCTTAGTTTTACAAATGGAATTTAATTATAATTATACAAGAATATATTGTCTGTGTGCATAAGAAAGTCAGAGCTCACCTCTCTGCACACGGTCCGAAGTGACGCCAGCTGCAGCCAAAAAGGAAGAACTGACTGGTTCGAGTTATCGTGTCCCCAGCAGTATGAGCCATCTTCATCTGACATGGGTGGTGGCAGCAAAGGACAGGGAGTCTCACACCGTGTGACTGCACCACTGAGAGCTGTGAAGACAGTAAAAGAGTAGTGAGGGATATGAATATAAAAAAAAATAAAAATACTTGCTCTAAGGAAAAGCATGCTCATTCCTGGTTTTGCAAGCAAGAGAAGCAAACTGATGGACAGGGAAAGCCCCAAAATGACCCAAGAGTCAAAGATCAGATTTGTTTAATTTGCCTGTAAATGGGAACCATTGAATTCAATAATGTGTAAAGAGACTAGGGATTTTCTGTTCATAAAGCTTAGGTAGTCTCCAGATTAAAACAAAATATAGCGTTAAGTAAGCACTGAGCTTTAAGTCAAGGGCTTCAGAAGCTCCCTTTCTGCTGCAGTACCAGCAGCCCTGGACTTCAAAGCTGCTGGGAAAATACACATTTCTTAAGCACCCCTTTGCTCTTCAGAGAAACACTGTTCTACTTTCTATTCTTCCAGGGACTGAAACAGCATTCTATGTGAACGTCACAGAACAGGAACTTTCCAGGACAGAAGCTCCGCAACCAAGTGAAAATGCAACTGGGATTTCCATCATCACCTTCAGTACGAACTCTTTAGTGACCGACAATGAGCTTTCTAACACCAAGCTGCTTCTCACACAACCATTTTTATCATCTAGAAAAAAGCTAAATTTTACTGTTTGCTGTGCCAGAGCACAAGCTCATTGATTTTAATCAATTTGACCTCACATGCTAAAATTAAGTCCAGTAAGGTGACTTCTCTCCCACCATGTTCATCTGGCCCGGTCCAGGATATATTGTTTTTGTCTTAATTACCAGAGACTCACTTTAACAACACAGATATACACCTGCTTCTTTTACAGAGCCAGATCTGAAATCCGAAGGCATGAAAAAGGAGAATAATCTCTTGCTGCCAGTCTTGGTGGCTGCTCTGATTTTCGTGCTGCTCGTCATTGTTCTGCTTTTTATGAGGAAGCTGAAAAAAGCTTATGGAGTGTGGAAAAGAGGTGGGTGATGGCCCTGTTTGAGCAACTGCAGACGCTGCTTTATTCAGAGGGGCTTGAGAGCTGAGGAGCCTGTTAAGGAGAGCAAGACCTGGCTCCTCCAGCCACCCATTAAATGTCCTTCCCCCATAGAAGGTGACCGTGACTTGTCACAAACAGCTCTTAAAAAGTCCCTGTAACTGGCAGCCTTGAGACATGCTTCAACTGACAGGAGGTGCCACAAAAGCCAATGAAATTAGTGTCTTGGGCATCTCTCTTAAATAGTCTGGATGATGGAACCCCCATCCTGTAACTGGTGCCTCCCAAGTTTTATGCTCAAGGCAGAGAATGAAGAAGAGTCATAGAAAAATCTCATCATTACGTTTGTCTTCTGCACAGAAAATGATGTTTCAGAGCAGACATTGGAGAGTTATAAATCCAAATCTAATGAAGACAGTCTGGGCCACGAGAAGAATGGACACGGTAAAAAGCTTTAACTCGTATAAACTAATTCCTCTTATAACATTGTTGCTGACCACAGCCAGAGCAAATTGCAGCCAATCTTACTGTACAGAGATATTTGCAAATTGCGTATTTTAAACCTGAATACTCTAAACTCAAGCCTTTCACACCTGGAGGTCCACCTGTTACAGCCTCAGCAAGAGTGATGCAGAACTGTAAAAAAGGAAAATAATTTCGTTTTATTTGAGAGGCTAGACTGGATAATCATAATGGATTTCTCTAGTTTCTAATCTACTGAAACACTACTAAAACCAATATCCGTAGTATGTACTAATGTGCTATTGTTAAACTGTTTCGAATGGCTCTTACCTGATTTCGCCACCACCAAAACATCAATGCTTCATCAGTCCTGTCCTCAGCCAGCAACTACAGACTGAGGCAAGTCTGTCAGCCTCCTCAGCTGGGGTCTTTCTGCTCCACACCTGGGCTTTTGGCTAAATAAATGCAGGTGGGGGGGGGGGAATATCCAAAGCCCAGGTGCCAAAAATTAGGGATTTTTGCCAACATCTTTCAACGTGAGTTTATTGCAGCACCTAAAATTGCAGCACTTAATTCTACACTAAAAGAGAAAGCGGCTCGTTGTCAAAATATTTTCAAAACTTGCCTTCTTCCTCAGATATTCAACGGCAAACTATTTAAACCATGCAGGTACGCATACCCCCGTCACAAAAGCAGTAATAAATGTATGTTCATCTTTCAGTCGTCAGTCAGAAATCCAACGCGCAATATGTAACAGAGGGACATGAGGAAACGAAGCACAAGAATTCGGGAGATAAAACCGCTGCAGTAAGCGAGCAGCACTTTGGATGGGGAAAGGAAACGGACGTGTAACAACGGCAAACCAGCACAAGGGGCAAAACCCCCGCTGCTCCCTGCCGTGTTT